AGGCGGTGCTTGCTGCTGTGCATGCTGCTGCCTATGACTGCGCCGCAGTGCGCTGCCAGATGGTGTGACCACAACAGATGTAGATATGGATATAGATTTCCCCTTATTTGGTTTGATTATGAGGATAGATCGTCGTTCGATGGAGCTAAAGCTAAGTCTATTCTTTCTATCTCAGTATTTTTTTTTTGTGTTAAATTATGATTCCCTAAATTCGTTTTGTAAGTATGGGCTAAGTCTTGTTTTGGTTTTCTTCTAACAAGCCTTGAACATACTCTCTGATTTCCATCCGGCTAACCGGTGCTTCAACCATTTGCATTACTCTAAGTTGCTGCATGGGCCAGTTCAACAACAGAGAGATGTATTTTTTTGGGCCATATTAGTCATGGGCGAGCGGTTAACTCCCGATGGGTGTTGCTTAGGGGCTCCAAAGGATGGCCCCCAGAGTGACTAGAAGGTATCGATACAAAAGGGCCAACAGGGGTGAATAGGGAGTGCTCTGGTGTGGTTGCCTTCTGCAGCAGCAACTGCAGGGTGCTTCTCATCTCGGCCTGCATCTGCTCCAACTGATCAAATCGGGTCTCAAAGCTATAGACCTTGTGAGATAAGATTTCGATGTCCACTTTGTTGTTCGCCTCCTGAGGGATTTGGTCTTCTACTTCTGCATCAATATTCTCAAGGTTGTTGTGTTGTTCCTCAGGGATAGGCAAGAGGTTGATCCTGCGGATAGTCATTCTTTGTGATCAAGGAATAGAACCAGAGATTCTAATGTAAGTATGGGGGGATAGGCGAGAGGTTGATCCTATGGGCGACCATTCTTCGTGATCAAGGAATAGAACCAGAGATTCTAAAAAGGGTTTGATTCCTATTATTAGGAAAGGGAATCATCGTCTTTATGTCGATTATCAAGGGAACACCCACTAGGGTTTTGCCTCATGTTGGACGAGATCCTCTAAGGACAAAGTTCCCTTTTCCTCGAAGATTCTTGCCTAGTACATGCAGGCAACATCCCGTCATGGGTTTCCTCATGACCACATGTCAAGGACAAGGTTTTGGGTTTGACTGTCATGCTCGGATATCCGCTCGAGGGATGTCAATCCCTCCGCAAGCAGGTGTCACTATCATCAAGGTCTGTCCGCTGTTCATTGCAGCGTGGGCTATCGTTTTGCATTCATCACAAGGCATTGGTGACATATAGGGTTTTTCTCAGGCTTGGCGGTGTTGTTTTATGTCCATCGCGAGTCTTAGGCGACTCTCATTGCTTATCGCAGGTCCCAGGAGGCAATTTATGCCCGTCACAAGTCCTAGATGATTTCTTAAGCTCATCACAAAAGGCTCCGTTTGGATACTTTCATCGTGGTTATGCCGACGGAGGACCACATGTACTTGAAAGTGGCAATTCTAAGTAAGAAGGTTCCAAATTTCTTACCATCTTGCATCCACGACAATAATAGTACACAGATCTCTTTTGCTAATGACACGCCCTTAATCTTTTGAGGGAGGAAAACTTAAAAGTTGATCTTCTTCACCTTTTAATTCTAGTCAGAAGGTAAGAATGGTCCCAATACTTTGATCTTGGATCTAGAAAATCTGAAATTTCTCCTTGTACCTTCTTTTTTATTAAGAAAATCTTTAGAGAGATCAATCCATTGGTGGTCATGGAAGTAACTACACCACTCTACCAGACAATGTTCGATATTTTTCTGTTGAATTGGTTGAGTTGTTTGTAAGACCAAAACAACTAAAAAGCCAATAGTTGCAAATCCATTGTTTGTATTATGCAGATTTATGGATTTTCCTCAAATTTCCAAAGGAAGATACATATTTTTCTTCCATATAATAATTAGCAAGATTTTGATGGTAAAAAAAATTTCATAAATTATTAAATGCTTCAGCAGATTAGTAAAAAATGTTGGTAAATTATTCCACGTTGCTCATTTTCAATTTAAAGGTGGCACAGAGACCACATGACGTGGCAATCATATAAATATCCAGGTTATTGGTGAAAAATTAAGCTATGCATTGGGCAGAAGAGGTAGGGTTGGCTGGTGACCTGCAGGACAGTGTAAGACAGAAGACCCCACAGCCTTTTACATTTTCTCCTGAAAAAGTAGTTGACCTAAGTTATATATATTAGAAAAAATAAACACTTTATAATGAATGAGAGAGCTGAAAGAAGTTAGAAAACCAGTTTAATGGACGGCTCGTGTAGCAAAAAACCCCCACATCCTTTAAATTTATTTTCTCCTACAAGAGTAGTTGACCTAAGTGCTTTTAGAAAATTACAACCTTGTGATACAAGAGAGAGATAAGTAGAAAATCATTTTAATGGGCGGCTCGTATAGCAAAAGCCTCACAACCTTTTAACTTAAATTTCTCCTATAAGAGAGTAGTTGACCTAAGCAAGTGATATTAGAAAAATATTAAATATTAATTTATAATATGAGAGAAAGAGAGATGGGCCACGGGTGAATCGGGTCTCTTCCTCACATAGCAGAGCGCTCCTTATACCGACCTCACACCATATTCCAATTTTCAATCATTAGGGATGGTCACAAGTTGAGCTTTTCATAAGCTATTCAAGTGAAGGGTGTCAATGGACTGGTTTTGGATAGGATCCCGTCCAGTCCAAAATCAATTTGGATGGATTGGACAGACCAACAAGGCATATTAGATTGGACCAATCCGGTCCGAAATATTTATTAGATTGGATTGAACTTGGTCTGTCCACAATAAATTTATATTGGATTGGGTTGGATTAAGCCAATATCTAGTCCATTGATATAAGATAAGAATATATGTGTCAATGAACAAAGTTTGGGTTGAAACCAATCTAAATCAAAACAAAATATTCATTGGACTGGATTGGACCTGGTTCACTTATAATGGACTCACACTGGACTGGACCGGACCGGATTGGATCAAATCCAGTCCAATTGACACACCTAATTCAAGCTCGGTTCGATTTAAACCGAGCTTTGAGCTTGATTTATAGGCTTGTTTGCTAATCAATCCAAGTTTGAGCCTAGTGAAACTCGAATCAAACCTAGTATAATAAATAAATATATGTTTTTTTATTATATACGTACATACATACATATACATATAAATATATTAATATATATATAATATTTCTATTTTTATGTATAATAGTAAATAATTTTTATAATTCTTATTTTTGTATGTAAAATAAAACATTTTTATATGTATATTTTTTATTTTTTATGTATAATAATAAATAATTTTTATAATTCTTAATTTTTTGTATGTGAAATAAAAAATATTTTTATATGTATAATTTTTATTTTCTTTAGAAAAAAACTTGCCTTGTAGTCGAGCTCAAACTTGCGAGCTTTGAACAAGCCGAGCTCGAAAGCCAAGTATTCGGCTCAGCTCAAATCCACCCCTATCGGCCACACATTAAGAACATTTCTCGCATTTATATGTTATTATTTATTGGAGATATCTCCGATACATGATGGGATGTGGCTGAGGTTGGTGTGAGGAGCAAATCCCAATTCATCATAGGTGGAAAACCAGTTTGTTGGACACCTCGTGTGACAAAAACATCTTCACAACACTAGGATCTTCCATATACCATCTTATTTGGCAGCCCAATAATCCTCCACATGGCAAAAGCAGAGACTCTTTAAATCATTGATGACCATGTAGGGATCAGTTACCGACAAAATGCTCTCATCACTGTCCCAACTAGCCATTATGGTGGCATATTGGGAAGAAATTGCATCAGTGCCCCATTCGCACATTACAACCTATCCCAACTGTGTAGTAGGAACACCTTCCCATGACAAGTACAAGAGATATTCCCAATATTCCCAGTGCACATTGAGATGTGCATGAGGTGTGTTCAATGGGGCATAAGTCTGATTTCTATTGGGAACAAGGGAGATGTTCCTGATGTGCAGCTCTAACGGGCTCAGATCTATTTTTCAAAAGTTGTTCCAACACCACGACGACACCATCTCCTTGTCATTGATGGGGTGTTCTCCATGAGTTCACATATACGCCCCACATGCGTGCATTGAGAACATTTCCTGAAATTGTCATTGGAAGATGTATCCAATACATGGTTGGTTGGGACATAGGTGACAGCATGTATTGGTAGCTAATATAAATTCGTAATCAATACACGACAATGTTGTTCTATAGATAAGGGATGTGATCAATCCGAATCTCCTACTCACAAGAATCCTACCCACAAGACATTAACATAATCCCAATATACAGCTATAGTGTAGTGTGGGTGATTTTGGATAGGATCCTTGTGGGTGGTAGATCCAAGTTCGGATATAATAACAGTTAGAGGAGCAAGGTTTAGCTCGGGCTGTCAAACCAATGATGAGTTCCAGGCGAGTAATAAAATACATGAGCCCATGAATTTATTATATTAAGCGTTCAGTTAATCCGAATTCAATCTGAAGCGCAGTGAACCACAAATCAACAACGATCGATTAGTTGGGATAGCGTTGGAAGCGTTTGTTGGTAGGAGATATAAATTTTTCACGACCGTCCAGGTAAGCTACCGAGAAGTAGTAAGGAAAACCAATCACTGATCAGTAATCAGTGTTAAGTGATTGTGTTTCCTGGTTGGGTGTAGATGACCTCGACCTCCCCAACGGACCAACGGACCCCACCATGCCGAAGGAATAAATCTCGCTTCTTAATTAACGGAGCCGTGACACACCGTCACGGTACCGACGGCAACCTGTCACGGTCCACTCATACCGTTATTCTTTTATTTAGGGCTTTCCCTTATGGATGTCTCTTGCGGCTAACGTCGTCTACCTCCCGTTCCGTCTCCCTGCTTCGAAAACCCTAACCCTGATTTTCTTCCGCCGTCCCCGTCCGTCTTCTCTGTCTCTCTCTCTCATGGCCTCCTGCGAGGACGACTTCTCTCTTCTCGGAGAAGACAACCCGACACCCCACCATCATCAGTCCTTTGCTTCTCATCGCTTCGCCGCCAAGTCGACGGCCATCCACTCTCATGCACAAGCTCCATCTTCGCAACCTCACCCCCTCAACACCCTCGCTGCCGCTAGCGGTGCCGGAAGCCCTAAGAAGGTCGGAGGTGCTACGGCCGGAGACGAGGAGGATGAGGCCGAGGACTATAGCGACGCTGCTTTTTGCTCTCAGGCGAACTCCAAGTGCGCTCCGCCTCCGCCTTTCCACGACGTGAACCCTAATTGCTTCGCAGCTGGGGATGATGCCAACCCTTTCGCTGCCGAAGATGAGTCCGACCCCAACAAAGCTAGAGCTAATGATGTTCGGAATGAAAAAAGGAAGGACCGTGAAGAACTCAGCGATGGCGGAACGCCTTACAGTTTCAAGAAACAGAAGTCCGGAGGAGGTTCGGGTTCCGGCACCGGCACGTCTGGAGGGGGAGATTACCGGAAGGATAGGGAGGAGTGGAGCGATTCCGCGATTGATTGCCTTCTCGATGCGTACACGGAGAAGTTTGTTCAGCTTAATCGAGGGAATCTTCGGGGTAGGGATTGGGAGGAGGTGTCATCGATTGTGAGTGACCGATGTGATAAGACGAAGTCATTTAAGAGTGTGGAACAATGCAAGAATAAGGTGGATAATTTGAAGAAGAGGTATAAGGTGGAACGGCATCGGATGAGTAGTGGTGGATCGTCGGTCAGCCACTGGCCTTGGTTTAAGAAGATGGAGCAAATTGTTGGTAATTCATCCAAGGTTTTAACGGATGAAGATAGATCTGCTGGTGCCTCTACAAGTATGCTTAGGCAGTCCAAGAGGTAAGTTTTCACTTCACTGTTGTGCTGTTAATTACTTGTGATTTCTATGTTGGGGCTTCATGATTTAAAAGAACACTGATGCTGTTTACAATAGAATTATGATTGCCAATGTTCACAGAGAACACTTCTAACTTAATCCACACAGACTGTTGCTTTTAATAACTTAATGTTTTTCCCGTGCTGTTGTCTTTGCCATGAAGGCAGAGTTTCCTAGCTATTCAAGGCCTATTTTCTTTAAAATTGGGGAAAGTGATTCTGGTCAAAACCCCTCTATTTCCATCGCCGCCATGGTACTGAAGATGATGAAGAAGCAATGTATAACCACATTGAAGGGTGATGGTATTGGTTTTTCCTTTGTGGACTTTGGTAAGCTAAGCTTTGCTTGGTAGTAGGGAAAGGGGTTCGATGGATCTATTCTGTCATTTTCTGTGCAGTGTGTCAAGAAACTCAAAAAGAAAATGTCTGCATGCTAAAGAACTTATTAACGAAAAAGAGGGAGGGGGAGGATCACCATGTGCCGGGCATTGTACTAAGCTTCTGAAAAAAGAAAATTTTGCTTTAATAGATAATTTCTTGCCACTAATTTTGAGCAGAAGGAGGTGGAGTTGCAGTAGAAATATCTTGCCTTGCTGATGCAAGAATGCCTTGGCATAAGACCTGGTACATGACAGGTTAAAGAAAATTGAAGAATTTGCAAAATCACGGTTTGGGATGTGGAGCAGTAAGTGTGTTGAAAGTAGGGTGATTTAAGATTGGAAATTAGGATTAGGAACTAGAATAATAGATGTAGGTTTGTAGATCTGACATCAAATTTGATTTTGAGAGTGCAGAATTTCAAGAGGAATTGGATTAAGAGTTAGAAACTTAGAATATGACCAAGCAGCAGAACCAAGTGCATATAAGGATATGGGATATTGGTCAGTTATCTTTTCTCAAAAAAAAAAAAAGGATGGGATATGGGTGCTATTGTTTGTGTGCATTTGGGTCGGTGATGTTTTATCACCTTATAGATTTTGTATATTTTCTTTTTATTATAAAAAGAATATGGGGGTTACTGGGAGATAGAGATGGATATGTTACTCCTAGAGTTTGGAAAAACCACTCAACTAGAAGGATTGCAGAATTTCTGTAAAAGACAGAGAATGCCCTATAAGGCTATAATTTTACATTTCACTTGGGCATCTTAGAGAAATTAAATTAGCACTAAAGCAAGTGGCTGAACCATGCAAAATAAATACAAAAATATAAAAATATCTCAAGTGTCTTAAAAATATAGAAAAAAAAGATAAAACAACGTTTCCACAACCCTGCTTATGCTTGCTTGTGTTCATTGCTTGCCTTTCAAATTTGAATTGGAACCTAGTCCTAATGTTTGTATAAATCTGGACAAAATGTGCCATGCTGGAGATGTGAAACTGTATCAAATTGGTATTTAGTTGCTCCTAAATATGAAATGAAAGGCATCTTGTCATTGTTCATAAGAAAAAAATATACCTTTCTTATCATCCAATAGAATTCTAATGTGTAATTTACAGATATGTTTCAACACCTAGCCCTGTTGGTTTGGCAAATAATTTGAAGTCGAAATCATTGTCTAGTCCTAGATGGCGGAGAGTGGTTTTCAAAGTTAGTGGTGCTGCATTAGCTGGGAATAGTCCTCAGAATACTGACCCAAAGGTACATTGTTTGTTCAACTGTATCAATTGATATCTAGTTGCTCTTAGCATAATGTCCAAGTAAATTGGTGAGTGGTTACAAGATTGTTTGATTTGAAATCTATAGGTTGAATTGTTACCCTCTGTTGTCAGGTGATCATGTTGATTGCTAGGGAAGTTTCCATGGCTTGTCGCCTTGGTGTAGAGGTATTTTCAGTACTCCCTTCCAGGTCCTATTTAAGACTATCCAATCCATTCTCCCATGATTATCCTTTATTAACTTGGTTTTACTCTATATATACTTGTTCTCCCTTCTTTTTGTTTTTTTAATACAATTTTTTACTCTATTATAAAAATTCTCTTTATATATTTTGATTTATATATTAATTAGGTTGCGATAGTTGTTGGAGGTCGTAATTTCTTTTGTGGAGACACATGGGTAACTGCAACTGGTCTTGATAGATCTACAGCATACCAGATTGGGTAAGTGGTTTTCTAAGCTATTGATGCTGATATTGGCAAATTTTCTTTAGTTACTGGTGTTCACTACAGATTACAGTTTTACATGTATGGTGTTTCTTCTTGTGTCCCTAAATTTGAAACTTTTGTGTTTTACGAAGATGTTGAAGAGATGCTTTACAGTCAAAAGGCTTAAGCTGGACCAAGGCAGCATATGGTGGGCTTTTTATTTCTTTTCTTTCTTCTTGAGGCCTGTCCCACTGTTATTCCCACATTTAATCTTTAATAGAATAGGATTTTCATTGTTATCAGTCAACCAAAATAAATAGATAAATAAATAAATAAAGGGTGGAAAAAGGAACAGAGTCCTTTTGGCCTTGGGCTCAAAGTCAAGTTGCTATGTTTTAGCATTGGGATGGTAATTCTTCCCATTTTTGTTAAGATAAACAAGGTGTGACAATATAATGCTCATGACTCCCAAAACGTATTAGATTTACAAGATCTTGGTTCCCTCTTGGATTGCCAATATTATAGAAGCAAGAATGGCTATTAATACACCAGGGGTTTCTAGAGCCTGAAGCACAATTTAAGGTATGTGCCTAAATGAAGCGAGTTATCACTTTAAAAATGGACTCAAAGGAAAGACTTTACAAGAATATACAATTTAAATTCTAAAAGAAATAAAATGTTTCAATAAAATCTATTAGCTAATTGGTTAGAATATTGTGTTTTTGACATGAAGGTTATAGCCTTGTACATCCAAGTCCCAGATAAGATATATTGTTCAATTGCCAAGGCATCATATGCACACTCTATGTATAATTAATTATTCAGCATCAAAATCAAAGTTAACATTAAAATATAGCAACAGGTGAGGATAAAATGTGCCTTGCCTGTTAACCTAAATGTGTCTTTTTAAAACACTGATAGTGATGACAAAGCATATTTAATGACAACCAAATCAAGCTTAATGTACAAATTTTGACACTTGAGCTGCAAGAAAAGTGACATACATACAACTCCTAGCTTTCTTAAAGTCCAATAAATATCTGATTATTGAAGGCTATTTCAGTGGCAACTGGCAAGGATGATACCCTTCTTCTGTTATTAGGGGTTGGTGGGTGAAGGTTATTAACAAGGTGGGCAAGGTTGTATGGGCTGTTGTACCAGCAGCTGTTATTTGGACCACTTGGCTTGAGAGAAATGGGTGGGTTTTTGAGCAGAAAAAGAACCCTGCAGAAGCTACAATCAATCTCTCTTTTAGCTTAATCAGGGACTGGCTTTTGGCAAGGATGATACCCTTCTTCTGTTATTAGGGGTTGGCGGGTGAAGGTTATTAACAAGGTGGGCAAGGTTATATGGGCTGTTGTAACAGCAGGTGTTATTATTTGGGCCACTTGGCTTGAGAGAAATGGGTGGGTTTTTGAGCAGAAAAAGAACCCCGCAGAAGCTACAATCAATCTCTCTTTTAGCTTAATCAGGGACTGGCTTTTGGTTATCAGGATTTGATGACTTGTATTGGAGAGTTGAATCAATCTTTTTTGTTTATAGATTTTTTTTGGCTGTTCTCAAGGGGTTCAATATACAGATCTCTTTGTACTTGACTATTAATAGTTATATTGATACTTGATACAATATAATACCTTTTTCAAAAAAAAAAAAATTCTGATTCTTGCATGAAGTAAAACTTAATTTTGATAGACAAAATTGCCATCTAGTATTGAAGGATATCAATAATACCCATGAGGCCTATATAACCATAATATGATTAATTTGGGAATGGGTATCAATCATACTAACCAAACCTCCAATGCAAATTCCTATGGGCTTCCTGGATTTATCATAGGCTTTTTACTTTGGTCAAGGGGACCTTGCATGCAGTATGCTGGATGCCCTGCATAAATATAGTTTTCCAGATTGATGATTGATCCAATTTCAGGTTCTGGTGCCCAGTTACTTCTGTTGCGATTGTTATACTGCCAAATTGCATGATATAGGTTAATTTATTGTTATTGTGATTTGTGGCCTAACATCAGGTAACTTTCAACTGTTATCAGAATGATGGCAACTGTTATGAACTCTATATTACTCCAGTCAGCTTTAGAGAAGCTGGGTGTTCAAACACGTATACAAACTGCGTTTCCAGTGCAAGAGGTTGCTGAGCCATATAACAGGAAACGGGCTGTTCGGCATCTTGAAAAAGGAAGAGTTGTAATATTTGGTGGCATTGGTGCTGGTACAGGAAATCCACTTTTCACAACAGATACGGCAGCAGCTTTGAGGGCTTCAGAAGGTATGGTCTACCTTAGACATCATCTAACATACTTCTAAGATCTTTCTGATTCATTCTGCCTTCTCTCTTTTATTGTTCTGGAGAGTAATATTCGTATCACATTTATTGGCCGTTGACAGTAAATGCTGAAGCAGTCCTCAAGGGTACCAATGTTGATGTTGTTTATGATTGTCATTCGAGAAACAATAACAATGTGGCATTTGAGCATATTTCTTTCAGGGAGTTGGCTTCCAGAGGTATTACCTCCATGGACATGATGGCAATCACTTTTTGTGAAGAGAATGGAATTCCCGGTTTGTTTATATTTCTCCTTCTCATATTTTATTTGTCATTACCTCGTGCTTCGTCATTGTTATTGAAAGAGGAATTTGGAGTCATGTTCCTAAAATATATTCTTCTGATACTGTTGCAGTTGTGGTCTTTAATCTACACGAGCCTGGTAATATTTCCAGAGCATTATGTGGAGACCAAGTTGGTACCCTAATTGATCAGACTGGGCGGATTAGCTGATGTAAATGTTTTATGTATTCTCTGATTCTCTGTTGCATGGTATTGAACCCAAGAAGCAGAGGGATATTATTCAAAGGATATTTTCTCAAAACAAGGTACTGATCGGCTGAACCAGTGTCCAATTTCCATGGGTTGGAATTTGGATATCAGCAAGCTAGTCCTTGCAGTCTGGAGCTGCTGGTGATGGTGTGTACTAGGGAAAATTAGGAGGTTTAGATTTCACCGATTGCAGAGTGGAGACACCTGCATTATTTATTACATCTTGTGAAAGCAGCAAGCAGGGAACAAGCCAGGTAGTTTGTTGGTTACCAGAGTAAGAGGTTCCGTTGTCCCTGCATCATTTTTCCCTTTGTACTTTGTCTGTAAATTGTTACAACTGCTGTTCTCATAAAGTTAATTGGGTTGGGTGGGTGGAACAACAACCAGTTTACTTAAAGAACCATTAATTTAGGGTTTCACTTTCACGAATTGTATCGTTGAATGCAAGAGATATTTTTAGTGGAGTTGTGATGGATATTGCAACTGTTCTTTTACTTTCTCTCTCGAATCTATTTCGGTTTTCACCTTTTATTTTGCCAATCAACGCGGATTCCTGCAGGTGATGATGAAACATGAAAGTAGGGGTTGAAGTGTTTCACGAGTCACGACGATTCTGTTTATGCTTGCAAGATGTAAATATGAAGATTGAAGAGTTTGGGTTGGATCCAGTTGTCAAGGCTTCAAGCCTAATCCAGCCCAAGCCCAAAGTTTAGTTGCTTCATATTTTTTCAACCCCAAACAAACATCCGACTTTATTGTGGGTCGGGTTGGGTACTTGGCCCAATTTACGCCCTCTTAAAGCTTTGACGGTGGTTTCAACTTTCAAGCAAGTCGGGCCGGGTTGAGGTCCCAACCCAACTTGTTGAACCCCAACCCTAACCCCAGTATGTACAGGCATGCATTATATGCATATATAAATAACTACTTTCATACAAAAGAGGAGTTGCCCCGCCAAAATGTATATATACTGGGGTGGTGAAAAACTAAAAAGGATCGAAAACGAAGTCATTTATATTATAGCTTTATAGGAATCCAAGAATAATTTCAATAGACGATAAAATGAATAAGATGGGATGGCCAAACATGATTCATATAATCAATCTCATATAATTAGAATTAGGCTTAGATGATGATATAATACATGTTTATCTAATAAGTATACATACAGATATAAAATTAAGCAGGGTTTCAGGGTTTGGATTGGGTCAGGTTGGCTAAAGCCTCAACCCTAATCCAACCTCACATTCATGCTTTTCAGCCCAAACCCCAACTTCAACCCAATTGAGTTGAAACCACTGCCATCCATATTGAATTTCCACAGACAGGATCACAGGAATGGGGCTTCTCTTCTCTCTGTCCACCAAAATCTTTACCATATATGATATGTGTAACAGGAGTCACATTCCACTCAGAACAAAACCAAAGGAAGAAAATGACCACCCAAAAAAAAAAAAAAAACCCTGGACAGACTAGTAGCTACATTTTGCAATGAGATACTGCCGATTAAAAAAGAACTGAAGAAGAAGAAGAAGATTGAACAAAATGAATAAATAACACCAACACAATATAAGCGATCACTAACTAAAATAAAAACACTGCATGCATGCACCAATGGAATGGATTATCAGTAACTGGCGAGGTTGTCTTCGGTTGTGGCGACGGAGGGCGAGAGCGAGTAGCGTGACTCGTCCAGGTCCTCACCCAAGGGGGAAGGGGATTGCTCCACCCTGATGTCCTCGATCATCTTCGCCACCTCCGACATCGTCGGCCTCTTCTCCGCCTTCTCCGCCACGCATGCCAACCCTACGTGCAGCATCGCCATCATCTCCTCCTCTATGTTCTTGTACCTCAGAAGCTCCGGGTCGAACACCTCCGCTGTCCACTCGTCCCTCACCACCGACCTTACCCACTTGGGAAGATCCACTCCCTGCTCCTCCTCCGCCCCCCGCGCTCGAATTGGGGAGCGATACTGCAGCGGTAGCCTCCCCGTCAACACCTCCAGCAGCAAAACCCCAAAACTATACACGTCTGCCTTCTGAGACAGCCTCTTCGTCTCCCCCTGCTCCGGCGCGCTGTACCCTCCCAATCTTGCCATGGCGTGAACTGGGCTCAGAAGCAGAGCCAACCCGAAATCAGAGATGCAAGCTACGCCATTCTTGTCGAGGAGCACGTTCGATGACTTCACATTCCCGTGCGGTATCTTCAACCCACTGTACTCCTCGTGAATACGAGCAAGCCCACGAGCAGCTCCTAACACCAAGCTAATCCTCGTCGTCCAGTCTAAAGGAATCCTCCCCGGTCCTCGATTCGCTGATTCAAATCAACCCAAAAGTTAATCCATGCTCAGCTCCATTGAATAAAGACTGTAAAAGTACTGTGAGAAATTACCATGGAGAAGAGAATACAAGCTTCCATTGGAGAGGTAATCGTAGACGAGGAGCTTCTCCTCCTTGGCATAGTAATAAGCTCTGAGATGAACCAGGTTAGGATGTCTGAGCTTCCCAACCAAATCCATATATTGTTCGAATTCCTTCCTTGCACACGGGTTCGCGTCCTTGAGCCTCTTCACCGCAACCGTGCACCCATCTTCCAGCACCGCCTTGTAGACTGTTCCCAGACTTCCTTTTCCCAGCATCTCCGCCGATGCCCGGAGCAGGTCCTCCAGCTCGAACTGCTTCCTCCTATCGAAGAACACAAGCTTGCTCCGGTTTGTCGTGGTGGTACTATCGCTGTCTCCTCCACGACCACGCACATCATTTAGATACATCTTCTTGTCGCCTGAATTACTGCTGCTTCTTCTCCTGCCTTTTGAACTGGAGCTGGAACCATTGTCTCCTGAATTTCTTCCACAGTAGTAAGCAACGGCAAACGACGCGATCACCAGTAAAACCACAGAATTCGCAACCACAATGGCGACGATGGAGCCGGTACTAAGTCCCTTCCGGGACTCCTCTTCCTTCCCCGCCGGCCCTGCAACAGTACTAGTAGGCAATGAGCTGGGGTTCGACTGCACCACGGTCTGCGCTGACGCAGCTGCCGGAGGGGCATCCAGGAACGAACAAACCGGTAACGGGTTCGGCCCGCACAGTCCTTCATTTCCTGCGACGCTTCGCGATCCGAATTTCTTCAGCAGACCGAATGGTACCCTCCCGTAGAACTCGTTGTTAGTTAAGTTTAGCTCTCTGAGCTCCGGCAGCGCCGCGGAGAGATCAGGAAGCTGCCCAGCAAGCACATTATTCTGTAGCCGAATCGTGAGGAGACGAGTTAAGTTGAGGATCTGCCTGGGGATGGGACCTCGGAGATTGTTGTCAGAGAGGTCTAGCCGGAGGAGACGCTTGAGGGAGCCGATGTCGGCTGGGACCTCGCCGGAGAAGTCGTTTCCGGCGAGGTAGAGGAGCTTGAGATTGGAGCATCTAGTGAGGGGGAGAAGGGTACCGTTGAGCCGGTTGCCATGGAGGTCAAGGAGGCGGAGCTGGTCGAGACGAGCCAGGGAATCAACAGGGCCACGCAGGTCTAGAGAAGGGAGAATGAGTGCAGTGACCCTGCCGTGGATGCATCGAACGCCTCGCCAGGAGGCGGAGCAGGCGTTGCCGGTGGTCCAGTTGGCGAGGAGGATGCCATGCGCGTCGGTCTGAGAGCGGAACTGAAGGAGCGCATCCGTGTCATTGGGGAGCAGAGCAGCAGCGGAAGCAGACAACGAGTACAGGAGAGAGACAGCAGAGAAGACGAAGGCGAAGGCATGAGCCTGCATTTTGGGCAATGGGCACTCGCCCTGCCAAATTTGTTGCTTCGACTTTGAATCAGGATTCAGGAGAGAAGCAGGAAGACGAACAAAAAAAAGCAATAAATAATTTTTACAACTTTTTTCAAAGAAAAAGAGAACGAAAGAAGATATGATTAAAGGGACAGAGATCAGAGAGGGAGAGTAATGAAGAAGCAGAGCAGAGGGTGATTGTTGGGGGAATGATTGCTGCTTCCACTCTGCCAAACAGCATGATTAGAAAGTTGCTGAATTCAAATTCCTTTTACTAAGCGTTACTTGGAATTTCTTCTTCTATTTCTTTTTCACAGTTGGAGCCGTTCCCCACTTTTCTTTTTTCTCGTAGACTCATCACTCACAGAGAGAGAGAGAGAGAGAGAGAGAGAGAGAGAGAGAGAGAGAGTCTTCATGCATGTTTTGGTGAATAAAGGGATCAAAACAGCTTTTTTAATGCATTCGTGGTACTGGGTATCGCAGAGGTAGACAAAGAAAGCAAAAAGAAAAAGAAAAAGACGAAAGAGAAGGAGCTCTGCTGGTCTGGTCGTTGAAAGACTTCTGAGTTCTGTCGAGATGGGGAGAGAGCAAATCTCTTAGAGCAACTGGATTGGGTAATGGGTCCCCGGTCCCTTCTCTCTCTCTCTCTAACAGTTTACACAGTAGAAATTCTTGGTGACGGGGAGCAAATCTTGGACTTACGTTATGGCATGGCAGTGCCACAAAAGAAATTCTGTTACTGACTAAACCCAACATATCCATCGTAAATGTCTTGCCACCTCACCACTCTTTAACTTGCCAAGCATCCCTAGCTTATTGCCACGTGGCAAATTCAAACCCTTCCTTGCACTTTTCTTTTCTCAACCACCAAATACGTTCCTTTTCAAGGAAAGCCATATGGATTATGGAATGAAAAATTTGGCATGTTTTACTTTATATGTAATATTATAACATTCCAAAATATAATATATATCTTTTGTCAAAAATGAACAAAATAATACACATACCTTACACTTATTCCATTTAATAAAATGGTTAGAGAAAACTAAATTCTTAATATATCAAAAAAAAGAAAGAAATTACTGTAATCATGTCCTCGATTGGTGAAGCCATGGCCCATGTGGTATCATCGAGGAGAGAAAGGTGGGCCCCATTTTTGTCTTGATGGGCCCTCCTCACTTCCTCAGCAGCCCACTGTTGTATGTGCTACCACTTTGCTTTCAAATAACTTCATCATCAAAAGAAGAAGAAAGAAGAAAGGAAAAGAAAAAGAATATATATATATATATATTTATTTATTATTTAATGTTTAGATCAACGCTGATGCCTACTCATTCAAACATGTGAGACAGAGAGCAAGCTTTATCCCCCTCCCTATTCATTCAGAGTGGGCTTAGCATTCCTCACGCGTTATTATTATTTCTCTCTTCTCCTTCAAAGGCCAGGCCAGAAGCTTGAAAAGTTGGTTTGGTTGAGCAGAGGAGATTATAGATCATCATGATTCCAAGCAATTACTGATGATGCAGTGTGTTTGGTCCAGTACTTTTAGCTCGTTGTTAGTGATCGAACCAGTGATTCTGACAGCTTACCAGCTCCCAATTTTTGATGGGTTTGGTTGTTTAACCCGCTCAATCTTTTTGAAAACCTTGGATGGGGCTCTGTTTCCCATGCCTCAAATCCAGCCTAAGATTAGAGTGGGTTGGATTTCAGGCCCAAACCTAAACCAACCAAAGGTCATTAACCCAACTCAAATTGGGCCTTGGGACACTTGCCCTATTGTCTTGTGTCTAGCAACATAGGACATTGGTTGAGGTCTGGGCCTGTGGGCATCTCAGAGTTTGCCCATATTATATATGTTTAGAGGTTGAGAAATTTGGTGCTAAGATTGATTGATTTCATCTCCACCTAAAAGAGCTTCTTTCTAGTTCACCAAGAAATAGCATGATAGGTTGAAAAATGAATCTGAGGGTATGCTAGCATGATCTAAGTCACTAACAGCCTTAATAAAAGAAATGATCTGTTGCAAGCTGAAGGGTTTAGAATAGTTTAGAGAAGAAAAAATAGAAATGAGATTATTTGTAGAGTGAAATGATTTGAGAGCTCATAATTTAACAAAGGATGTGTAATAAAACAAAGAAGCCATTGCTTGGTGCAATGATAAAATGGTGGGTTGACAAGCATGAGAATGCTATCTTGAGTGGCCAAATCTTAAAGTGATGACTTTTTGCAAGAAAATGCCAAAAGTTGGGTCTCTGTTCAGTTCCAATTCACCCCTATGAATGAATACTCTTATCTGGGACCAACATTGCGTCCAGGGAAACAATCTTGAGTTGGGTAGAATATGAACATTAGGCTGTGTTTGGTTGCAGTGCAGATTGAGTTTGCACTGATGCAAATACATGGGAGTGCAAATGGGTTGAGTGTAACTTTTGGGGTTTCATGTTTTACTTTGTCTTATTTGTTTGTGAGAAGTAAAATAATATAATTTCCACCTTAACGATGTGTTTGGTTTGAAGGAAAAAGTAGGGAAAGGTAGGGAAACTTTCACAAACCTTGTATATGTTTTCCTACTTTTCTCTTCCTTTCCCTACCTTTTCCTTCAAACCAAAATAACACAAATGAAAGAGAATGGAGGTAGGAGGAGGGCTATTTGTTTGAAAGTGAGGTGAGTTGCAAGATGATAAGATCTATGAGAGAGAGTTGGAGTCAGGGTTTTAAAAGGCTAAAGATGGAGGCAAGGCGGTTGGGTGTCATAGGGGCAAGCCATAAGCCTCAAGGGATTTTGAGGCCTAAGCCTTGAGCAATATGTACATTAAGGATTTATATGGGTTGTTTGATATATTAGATATGTGTTTGGATCCAGGGTAGGGTTTTCTTCCCTAAAATCTAAGTACTAGAAGAATAATATATATATGACTATTTAGTTCAGAAATATGAATTAATAGTGTTTTAATAGCAAGATATTCTTATTTTTTTTTTTTTTTGTATGCATTAGCGAAGAGTGACTACCTATTTGATGCATGTGCTTTAGAAAAAATAGATTATCAACTATGGGATAGACGAGCAAGAGAGTAGGAACAAAGCATGAACAATATAGAGTAAGTTATTTTATATACATTTTAAGCATTTGAGTAATATGATGGTATAAAACAAGGCATTCTTTTTTTTGTCTTTAATTTCTGCTTTAGCTCTATATAAACCTTCATATTTAACGTTAGTGTATCGAATACTTGAGGCTCAAGCTTTGAACATTACGATGTCAAGGGCCCAAAGATGTAAGCCTCAAAGAATTCAAGGCCTAAGCTTTGCTGGTGAGGTTTTTCTCAGCCTCCCCTCAACAGCCTTTTAAAATGATTAGGCTTGGATGATGATGAGAATTGAAGGAATGTGGTGAAAATTTTGCATTGATTTTTGGAATGCAAAATTTGCACTATTAGGCAGTGCAAATGAGACAAAAAAAAAATAAAAAAATACAAATCTTATATCGGGTAGAAATGAACAAACATATGCAAAATTTGTATCTAGTTCAGATTTGCACTAAACAAATGAAAACCTCATGTGTACTCTGAGGATTTGAAATATTTTTTTGACATTGAAGTAAAGTTACAAGAAATTAAACATACAAATTTCTGTTCTTTATTATATAGTGGAAAACAATGTCAAAGAAGAGACTAGAAACACAATCTTGCTTCTATAAGAAATACCATGGAGATGCTCTTAAGGTCCGTTTGGTTCACTGTTGGAATCAGAATCGGAATCGGAATCAGAATACTCCATTCCCATAGTCTGTTTGGTTCAGACAGGAATGGAAATGGAAATGGAAATTGGAATCAGCAGGAATATGATTTCATTCCCAAAGGAGGGGTAGGGAATGACCATTCCCTCAAATGAGTATATGCCATTCCAGCAAGAATGAGAGTGGAATTCCGATTCCACCAACCAAATAATTAGAATCTGAATAGTCCATTCCGATTCCAATTCCAGACCCCTATTCTCACAAACCAAACAAGGCCTTATTATTTCTATGGCTGGGGCTAGAGGCTACTATTGAAGCCAATATTTCATTGAGCACAAACATACTTACGATCAGTATAAAAAACTTGGAAAAAATGGCCAGATGAAAGCCTTCAAACTTCTGCTCTATTATGCAATCCAAGCAGCCTATTATATCCATTAGATGATTCTTCTGTCCACAAGGCACCAACACTGCCTTCTCTAAAGAAGACAATGAATTTAATGCCCACATGGTTCACTTTGGTCTTGTTCACCTCCACATTTCTCAGATTTTTGAAACCACAGAGCTTTAATATTTTCTTCTGCTACCCTTTTCTCTTCTCCAAAGAGAAGGGTAGTAGCCATAAACCAAGAGCTCCCTTTTCTTCTTCTCATCCTCTGAGTCCACTCTGAAATTCTCTACTAATATCCCAATACATGATCCCAATAAGGTCCATTAGCAATGCAACCTCAGCGGGCCAGAGTTGGACATCTATCAAAATTTGAAGTTGCTTAGGTGAGGGCCTGCCCTGACGAAGTGTACATTCTTCAAATTGGACATTCAATTTAGGCTGTATTTGGTTGAAGCGTAAATTTGAACCAGATGCAAATTTTGACCACCTTCCTCTTATCTCAATTCTTTCTAATATAAAGTGGGGTAACAAACAGTCCTCTTACCTCATTCCAAAACAAACAGTCCTCTTTGTATTTCCATTCTCTTACATATAAAGTGGGATCAAAGCATTTTACCTCATATTTTCTTTTTACAAACAAACAAGACAAGGTCAAATATGAAGTAAAAGTAAATCAGTCCATTTGCATTTGATGGAGGTAGATTTGGCCTGACCCATTGGCTGTGCGACATGTGGAGGAAGATGGGGTGACCTGGTAGGAACGCCAGCTCGGCACGGTAACGTAGCACGGCCATATCCCAAAGAGAGGCCCGATCTCCCGAGCTCCCCAAAAGGGACCCACGCTTCCTGGGAGGTGAAACCCGAAGCTCTCCCTAAAGGATCCCGAGGCTAACAGCGAAGCCCGCGAGGGGCAAGGCCCGGACTAGCCCACCTCGGGTCAGTTCGGACCACATGCTAGCACTTCGGGACAGTAGGACCTACTCATCCGAACTCAAGACTTCACCTCGTGCACCACTCCGGCACCTCGGCTCCAGGTCGCGCGACTGTGAAACCATATATGACAGATCCGTACTCTGAGGCAGCACGCCTGACTAGTCTGGGTCTGACAGATGGCAATCACGCCGTAACGGCTACCTGCCACCGCCATCTCAGTTATGGCAGAGACGGCCCTGACAGAGAGGAGAGTGGCAGTTATGC